CAGGTTTGGGGCCCCAAGACGGATCTCACAAATGATTCCAAAACCATAACATAACATAGGCTTTGGGCCCCATACACTCCTGGAACCCCCAGCGATGCGTAATTTGTGGGGGTGTACGTTACGCCACTTCGGTCATAACTTCGTAACTCGCCCCACTTGGCTACGGGAGCCCCCATGAGTTCGCGACCATGACCACTCGGATACTGCGGCCACTATGGATAACAGGATGCATGGATATGGTCATCTTAAAACAGTGTTTCTCAAAGTTTCAATATTTGCGACCCAATATTCAATCACAATTTTTATAATGCCCCCCCTGTCCATACAATAACAACTAATTCAATTCAATAATACACTTTGACCCTAAAGCTACAATATAACTTTACTTCTTAAGTGTCATCGGCGTATATAAATGTCTCACTCAGCCAAAGTGTTAATTGCCCTGGACGTATATATACGTCTTTCCGAAGTATGATCTTCCCTGTGCAATGCTATTCATAAAATTATTCCGAAGACTTTGGAATGCAAATAAAGGACCTTTATAGGGATTGCGAAGGATTTGCTTATTTATTCCTTTTCTGTTCCTCTCCCCCCTTTAATACATTACAGACGTGTGCCTACGAGGAAAAAAAAATTTGCATATAATTTTATATATGGCAAGCCCATGGGGTCATTGGTAATTATTAATGCTATTTTTAATTTAGTATTGTTAAATGAACTATAAAATGCATTGTGTAGCATTGATATATTTATGAGCGTATTATATTAGTGTAAATGGGCATTTTATTTTTATTACGTCAGAATGTATTTTGTTTGTTTACTTTCAATAAATTAAAAAAATTTTTAAATAATCTTTTGTTATCGACTTTTCAATAGGCTCGCGTTCCCTCGTAGAGTTATCACGCCCCTAGGGGGGGCGCCCCACAGTTTGAGAAACGCTGTCGTAAAATGAAACGTATCGTTTGAGGCGTAATTCTAAATGCTTTCATGTATTTAAACATATTGTGAAATAAAAATATACAAAATCATTACTATTGAAATTTTGATAATCTGTATTTATATATAAAACTGTTGCGAACTTCATCCATATATTCTACATTCTGTATTTAATTAATGCTATCATTTCCTTTTAATTAACAAGATTGTTCTCGATAACTACTTCGACTGGTATTGCTTCGTTTCATTTCACATGTTATACAGTTCTATTAGAGAGATCTCGTCCTTATAAACTGCGTAAATTTAAAAATATTCGATTTAAGTTCGAGAAATTTAAAATGTCGACTCGAAGTGTTATATTCCATTTTTCATTTAAAAAGTATTCGCAGTTCCGTTGAAATGTATTCCATGTGATTTATGTAGAGCTGTCTGATTTCTCGACGTCATATATATCTGATACATGTTATAAATAATTCATATGAGAAAAATTTTCCAATTTCTTTTATCGTTCCTTTTTTTCCCGCCAATATTTTATCATGAAAAATTCCTTTTACCATTCACTTCGTTATTCATTCTCACTACTTCCCCTAAAATTTAATGTTTTATGTGTTAGCATTTGATTTTTTAAAAATCAGAAATGAAATATTTTAACTGCACTTCATTATGCAGATTTTATGTAATATTTTTTATCTCCTTTGAGTTATTCGTGTTGTAAAAATTTTCTGAATGATTAAAAAAAGTTTTTTAAGTTATCGTACTTTTTTTATTAAAGATTTATTGTTATAATAAAAACGTATATTATATCTTTACAGTAATGTATATGCGTCACGTTTTTCATTATCGATTTTAATTTGTTTGTAATGCTCTCTGTTCTTGGAGGGATGTTAAAAAGGAAAAATTTTAAGGTAACTATATAAAGATCCGTGATTCTGAAAAAAAAAGCTTATAAATAAATATTTTTTAAAAATATTTCGTGTTAGTAGAATTGCAATACATATAAAATTGTTTTAAGAATATTATAAAATTAAAAAATTATTTAGATGCAATATTTTTGCAAAAAATGAAGATAGAATGATATATTTTCAAACCATTCTCATTTTATAAAAAATTCTATAATAATAATATTTTGCCTGTACATAGCTAAGAATTTTATATAGAGCCTGTGTGTGTGTGTGGGAACAGGGTTTTTGAAAACAAATCACATTCTTTTCAGAGTTACGATCAATTGAAATAATAACCGATGTTTTTTGTTAAAATTTATCTTAATATGATATGTTGAAATAAAAACAAGTAATATAAAAAAAATTAAGCCAATTCCTACTTAGATCAACAAAGAAAAATTTTATTTTAGCTACTTTTTATTAAATAATTACAATTAATATAAATATGTATATACATATGACAGAATCACAATATTAAGTGGTAATTAATTCTTATTAATTATCACTAAAGTATCGTATTGCCATACAAAACAAGCGTGTATATAAAATTTCAGTTCAACTGAATGCTTTAAAACGTGAGAAAAAAATCTTTCTAAGTTTTGACCCAAGTCGCTAAAAATGAAACCAACGTGGCTGTATTTGTAATTCTTTAAATAATTAGTTTCAGTCAAAAAATTTTAATTAATTATAATTAAATTATTGTATTTTTATCCAAAACAATAGAGTATAGAAAATTTCAGCTCAAATGAGCGCTTTAAAATGTGAGAAAAAAAACCTTTTCAAGTTTTGACACTCCAAAATGGTCACTAAGTTGCCAAAGATGATGCCAACGTGGATGTATTTGTAATTCTTTTAATAATTAGTTTTATTCAATTAATTTTTATTAATTATAATTAAATTACTGTATTGTCAACCAAAATAATCCTGTATATAAAATTTCAGCTCAATTGAGCGCTTTGAAATGTATTTTAATAACGATTACAAATCCCACGAAGATAAATAAATAAATATATAGAGAGTGTGAGCTAATAGTAGGAATTGAAGAATAAATCCACTCTTATATGGTTTAAAAATCCTAGTTAAGGCTCTCTGTACAAAAGTCTTAGCTATATGAAGCTAAAATATTATTATAGAATAATTTTGCATAAAAGGAGGATGTTTCGAAAATATAATAATCTTTCTTCATTTTTTGACCAAAAGTTAGGATTAAATATTTTTTAGAATAATAATATTCTTAAAGCACAAATTTATATGTATATTCTGATACTAAATATCAAAAATGTATTCATTTATACGCTTTTGAAAAATCACGGTTTGGAACTTAGTCGCCTAAAAAATTCTCTAGATTTGAGTTGTTGTTTTTTAATTTAAGTTACTTAATTGCTCTAAATTATTTTTACAGGTGTAGGGGCACAGGAATAAAAACGAAGTGAAGATCTAAACCTAAAAAATTTAGATTTTACTTTGTTTGTGCTTCGAATTAAAGAAAAGAATTCAACTATGAAAGAAACGATTTTGTGGTAAGTTCCATTTTGCTTTTATCTTTGAGATATAAGCCAGATCGATACCATTAAACTTAAAAAAAGGAAGCTTTCTATTTATATCTGAAAAGGGGTTTTTTAAACCATTCCGATTTTTTTCCATGTCTACCGATATCTCTATTCCATCGTGAAGAGAGTCGAAAGGTTTTTCAACCGAATGAAGGTTTAGATAGATAAAGCGTGAATCACTTGATTTGTTCGGTCGATATAAATGTGAAATGTTTCATTTTTGTCAAATCAATATACACAATCCTGTCTTTAAAAAAATATGTGGTTCAGGTATAAATTTACAAACTTTTCTCTCCCTCCAGTGTTATAAAAGGACTTGTATTTAAAGTAAGGGATACAAAATATTTAATACATGTATTTCTCTCTCGCGTATTTGTTCTTTAACATTTCATTACTCGAGTATTTGGAAAAATTACAAAATTTAAATTTACAATTTACGGTAAAAAATGATTAAAAATATAACAGCAATTAACTCTTATGTAAGAATGCGCGGCATTTTACCATTAGTACGGCACAAGTCAAAAACAATCACAATCGCGCCAATAAAAGACTGCCAATAGCGCCAAATATCGTGACTTCTTCTCACTTCTAGTTTATTTCGCAGCATTTTTTGTAAATAACCTGACAAGTGAAATGGATTCGAAGAACAAAAGCACATTTTATTTTGCCTCAGTGGGTACTTGAAGGTTTGTGCTGTGAAACTAAATATTTTCTTTACGGCATTTTTTCATTCGTTGAGCTGAAAGCTTGACCACCATTTAGGAAAACATCACAGATGGCTCTATTATATTTTTCAGACTTTTAAATATTAAATTAATTAAATTAATTATTATTCGAATTAATTAAATTAATTATTATGTATAAACCAGGATTTCTAATACAGTACTCATTTGTGTTGGAACTATTCCGTTTGTTTCTTGTGTACAATACATTACGTACGTCATCTTTTTTTTTTAAATTTTGAATAAAAAGTCAAGAATTGTTTCGTAATTTAAAGGGAAAATTGCGTAATCTCTAAACTGAATAATTCGGTGTTACGTAAACCAAATGAGTTTATTGCAATATTAGAGTAGTTTTCTGTACACATAAAAGTGGTTTTGTGTGTGAACTATGTTATTTAATACTAATCAAATGTAACAATAAACTATATTCAGAATTAGTAATAGTAAATGAGCCTGTATTTATAACATACATTTCTAAAAGAACTGTCAAATTTTGGTGGGTCATTGCCTCCGATCCTATCTGACACTTTGTAATCAGTTAATATAAAATAAATTAAAATTACCAGACACTTCAGACCCCTAATCTCCGCCAAGGATTTGTCTTTCAATTCCTACTATTAGTTCATACTCTCCCTATATATATATATCAAATTTTCAGTCGTTAATAAAATACTTTCTATTCATCCACTCAATTTCAAATACATTTTTTAAAACTTGTACTGGATGACACTTGATGTTAATACAGCTTTTTTCAAATATTAATTCCTTAATTAAATTAAATTAATGAATAAATAGTAAAAAACAAAAATAATGGGCCAAAACCATATATAAAAAAGAAAATCGCTCGTTGTGTCCTTGTAGCACAATGGATAGCGCGTTGGATTTCTAATCCAAAGGTCGTGGGCTCGATTTCCACCTGGGGTGGCCTAATTTCTGAAAATGTGATTTCTTTTTACTGTACTATTTTATTGGAATGATTAAATTTAATGAATAAGTAAGTATTTGCAAACAAAAATAAAAGTCCATCGCCATATAAATAAAGGAAGGAGAATTGCAAGGAAAATCGCTTTCTATTTTGCCGCTTAATATTGTGATTATGTCATATGTGTATACATATTTATATTAATTGTAACTATGTAATAAAAAGTAACTAAAATATGAAATTTTTCTTTGTTGACCTAATTAGGAAATGGACTTAATTTTTTTTATATTACTTGTTTATATGGATAATGTGTCCCTTAAGGTATCCGACTACTTACGACGTCTCTTTTTTTTAAAAAAAAATGGAGAATTTTATGTTTTTAGATTTATTAAGTACATTTTAAGAAAAAAGAATAAAATTAAGAAGAGAAAAATTAATTATTACTACTAAAATGGGTAAAAATGTACAAAAAATTACACAAATGGGGCCTGCTCTGCTCAAAGCGTTTATGATCAAATTCTCAATTTTTCAATTTTGATGTAAAGAGTGTTTTTTTCCAGGTATAGAAGTTTAAGTTGGCATTACTTTCCAAGATGGCGACCGATTTAACAGCTGTCCAGTGATTTATTCTCAGTTTGGTTTGGCAATTCATCAAAACGATCTTCTAGCAAGGCGTAGATTCGTCGAATGGGCCCAAAACGAGATTGCCGTTGTTCCCGATTTTCATAAGCGAATTTTGTTTAGCCATGAAGCGCACTTCTGGTTGAATGACTACGTCAACAAACAAAACTGCGGCATTTGGAGTGAAGCTAATCCACAAGTGTATGTCGAAACACCGTTACATCCAGAAAAACTGACTGTTTGGTGCGCTTTATGGGCTGGTGGAATCCTTCTTCAAAAACGATGAAGGCCACAACGTTACAGTCAATGGGGATCGGTATAGAGCCATGATTACTAACTTTTTCATTCCTGAATTGAACAATCATGGCGTCCAGGAGCTGTGGTTCCAACAAGACGGTGCAACATGTCACACAGCTCGTGCCACAATCGATTTATTGAAAGACACGTTTGGTGACCGCCTAATTTCACGCTTTGGACCTGTGAATTGGCCTCCAAGATCTTGTGATTTAACACCGCTAGACTATTTTCTGTGGGGCTATGTAAAGTCATTGGTCTATGCGGATAAGCCACAAACGCTTGACCGTTTGGAATACAACATTCGCCGTGTTATTGCCGATATACGGCCACAAATGTTGGAAAAAGTAATCGAAAATTGGACGTCCTGATTGGACTACATCCGAGCTAGCCGTGGCAGTCATATGCCAGAAATCATATTTAAAATGTAATGCCACAAGATTATCTTTCGAATAAAAAAAATTCATGTAAATCGAATAATACATCGTTGTTTTATTGCAATTTAAAGTTCTATACTTCTAAAAAAACACCCTTTATTACTTTGCTATTCCTTTTTTAAATGACCTTCCGGATAAGAGATATTTTAATTTTTACAAAAACTGTAGCACTTTATCTTAGTGATTATATGAAATTGCTTGAAAAAACAGTGATTATAGTGACATAAAGAACTGTAAATCTTGTAATAAAACAGTAATTGATAAATTTGAAGTTATTTTCAAAACTGTTTGAGCAATCGCTGCCCCCGCTTGAGCTATTCGCAAAAGAAACACATTTCGAGAAAAACGCATTTTAAAGTTTGACATCTTGTGTAAAGTTATGGCATCTGCTTTTACTAAAACACTTGTAGTTTTTTTTTTTTCTAGTGAAGGGAAAATAAAAAACTTGGTACTTTTATAATGCGAAAAAAGTGGCCTATAAAATAAAATTTAAAAAAAATTGTCAATTTTTGGAAAAAAATCATGATTTTAGCGTAGTCGGATACAATTAACTCGTTCTTTCAAACCCTGCAGATATGTTAAAAAATTTCACCCTTCAAAAAAAATCTTGCTTCCTCATTTGCATATTTGCAATTACTCACAACTTTATTTGCAGTAGGCAGGCAGGTGTAGGAACTATAACATTTTTCTCTCTTATTGAGGGGGACGATACTCTCTACATAATCCATTTCTGTTTGCGTGTATGCTTGGGTTCTGCCTCCTATTATTCTACCTACTATTATGAAACCCAAATCGAAACCACCCAGAACTTCTGCCCTTTCTTTTTTCGGTACCCCTCTTCACCGACAGTTCTTTTTTTTTAATTGTTGTCTGAAACGATTTCCGGTCATATATTTTTTTTTCTTACAAATCTTTTATAATTCTAGAGTTTTTCTTTTCAACGCCATTTTTACTACGCCCCTTTAAGTGCTTTTTACGTTTTAATGGCGGTTTTCATGTCAGCAAGACCGCTCAGGACTCGAGCACCTTCTTGCCATACGAGCTGAAGTTCGCCTCTGAAATTAACCACGCCAAAGATCGAATTATAATTGCTGTCTATTGTCCGTGTCATTGTTGATGGCTTCCTTTATTATTATTACTATGGTCGGGTTTTTAATTGATTCCCTTGGCGAAGGTTTTGGCGTGAAAAAAATGTGTGTGCTACTTTCACGAGCGTCTTACATTGTGTTTGTGTTTAAAAGAGACGTGTTGAGTCATTGGATTTGATGAAACAATTTTTGATTCTTTTTCTATCTAGACAATGCGTGTGTGTAGAGAAAAACAAATCGTGTATTAGAAATATAATTATCTTTAGCACGTGATATATATTTGCATATTTGATTTGGGTGCGTGTGCAAGATTTAAAATTCGATGTCATCAAAATATAGGTTACGTGAAGTGGAAAACCGTTTTGTATGATGATGTGTGTGTTGAACATCTACAAATAGATTATTTAGATTAAATTACATAGTAATGCATTTTTTTTGTAAAACTATCGACTATAAAATAAGATATCAGTTATTAAGGCAGATAAGATCAGTTGAAAACGAAAACGAAACGTTTGTATTTCAAATCTAATTGATTTACTAATTTTTCTTCTGTCTATGGTATTTATATGTTCATAATATCTTCTGAAAATAATTACGAAGAATCATTACTCACTTATTTAAATTTTTAATTCTTTTTACCATTTAATCTATGTGACACATAATATAGGTAACCAAAAATCAATAATTGGTGTAAACTGTCCTTTTTTATATGTAATATTCCAATATGAGAACAAAATAATCATCTTAGGAAAATCCAGTTTTATTACAATTGTGTGTCATAGATTTAGGATTTCCCAGGATTGATCCCTCATTTTTTTTCCCTAGTGAAGAACCTTTGTTATATTTATGTTGAGCATTCGATAATTTTACGTGTAAGTTTCTAATTCATTGCCTTTATTTATTCTTATATTAAGATGACTAAGTTCGGGATTGGATTTTGAAAAAAAAGTATAAATGTATCTTTTGATATACCGCGCCAGTTGAATTAGAATATACATATAAAATTGTTTTAAAAATATTATTACAAAAAAAAAATGTTTAAATGCATTTTTTAGCAAAAAACGAAGAAAAAATAACATATTTTCGAAATATTCTCTTTTTTTATGAAAAATGCTTCTATAATAATAACATAAACTCAAACTCAGTGGCGAAACAGCCCATGAGGGCCTTCTGTGCCCATCCCAGTATACGTGACCATTGGGCACTGAGGCGCATGAGCAGATGTCCCGATCAGGTGGTCAGTCTGAAGCGAGACCCCCCCACATTGCTTAAGGTATCCGACTACCTTAAAATTATAATTTTTTTTCAAAACTTGACAAAAAAATTTTTATGATTTTATTTTATAAGCCATCTTATTAGCTTAATAAAAACACCAACCTTTTTATTTTCCATTCACTAGAACAAAAACTGCAAGTGTTTTAATAAAAGAGGATGCCATAACTTTACACAAGATGTCAAACTTTAAAATGCGTTTTACTCGAAATGTGTTTTTTTCGAAAAACTCAAACGGGGACAGCGATTTCTCAAAAAGTTTTGAAAATAATTTGCTGAAATTTTTTCTGAATGCCTTGTATAGCAGTAGAAGTGATTTGTCCTTCAGATTTATCAATCACTGTTTTATTTCAAAATTTACAGTCCTTTATGTGAATATAATAAGCAAGTGTTTTTTAAAGCAATTTTATATAGTCACTAAGATAGAGTGCTCTGGTTTTGGTAAAAATTAAAATATCTATTATTCTGAAGATCATTTCAAACATGAATAACAAAGTAACACATTAAAATTTAAAAAACTGAGAATTTGCTCCAAAAATTTTTGTACAGAGTGCGCCCCGTTTATGTGATTTTTTTTTGTACATTTTCACTGGTTTTTTCCCCTTTTAATAATAATAATAATAAATTCTGTTTTCAATTTTACGATTTTTTTCTTAAAATATACTAAATAAATCTAAAAATCACATAAAAATTTCCTTATGTTCATTTTTTTCAAAAAAAAGTTGTCGCAAGTAGTCGGATACCTTAAGTCCCCAAGAAAGCTTGGTACTCATTTATCGACCCAATGCAGTAGGGATAAAAGGCTGAGTGCTCCTTGCACAGCCCAAGAATTGAACCTGGACATGTGGTGTGGAAGAGCGATACGCTACCATTCGACCACTGTGCCTACAATAATAACATATTTTGCCTATAATAATAATATATTTTGCCTATAATAATAACATATTTGGCTTATAATAACATATTTAGCCTATAATAATAACATATTTGGCCTATAATAATAACATATTTGGCCTATAATAATAACATATTTGGCCTGTAATAATAACATATTTGGCCTGTAACAATAACATATTTGGCCTATAATAATATCATATTTTGCTTATAATAATAATATATTTTGCCTATATTAACATATTTGGCTTATAATAATAACATATTTGGCCTATAATAATAACATATTTGGCCTGTAATAATAACATATTTGGCCTATAATAATAACATATTTTGCCTATATATAGCTAGGACTTCTAAACAGAGCCTGAACAAGGATGCTTGAAAACTTAACAA